TCAAATCTGCAGATGGTAAATGGAAAAGTGGAGTTCACGGTGACCTACGTTAGGCTGCTAACCAACAATAATCTACTGATTTATGGCAACCTGGCTTTCACATTTTATTTCATTTTTTAGTGCAGAGAACATTATACAAATGAGCTGCTTATTCAGAACATTTCAAAATATCAAGATTGTGGCTGTGAAAATTATATTAATAACAATATCTAGCTTGAACTCTTTCACACTTCCAGTTTCTGTCTAAGATGACATGCACTCTCTACTGTTTCTAACTAAGTTGCGCATATGAATTAAAAAGACTATTGGCAGAAGCTGTGGAAAAATGAGAGCTACAGGGAAGTTGCAGAGGATTCTTTCCAGAGTCACGGGTAGTAAGGAGAAAAAAACATTTTTTCAAAAGGTACGTGGTATTTTACTTACTCACAATTAATGTAGGTAAATTAAATTAAGATTTTGAACTATTTCATGTTGTGTTAACAGAATGACTGTTAATACATCAGAAACAACTAATACAGGTCAGAAGTGCAGAATATAAATGTTTATCAAAGGTTAAAACTGAAATTACAGTTTTAATTTCATGTCCTACAAGAAAGAAGGCACTGCAGAAAACCTGGGACAACGTCCCTCTCACTGCTGATTTAAACTGAGGAGAACATGAGCTGATGCATGTACCATTCTTTGCTTAGCACAGCTTGTACCTATACATGAAAGGTTAAACGTAACCAAGACAACAACACAAATATTATTTCTATTACAAACCTAGAGTAGTAGCTCATACTTGTCCAGTAGCTACTAATAAAATTTTTTCTGTTTTACTTAACGAGTTCTTTTAGCTAAACGTTCACGCTGTCTGGATGGTTATTCTGCCTCTAAACTATACAAAACTAGATTTTTCTGGGACTTGTCCACCAGCATTTTGGCTGGCCACTCTAACCTTATAAACACAGAATTAGCACCCTTATTTTCCTAAAACGGATGGATATAAACGTAACCCAAAATGTAGAACAAAGCCTAACACCTGGCTCTTTACTGATGAAAAATACATCACCACAAATCACCCACAATAAATGACATCACAAAGATCCACTTAAACAAGAGATTAAATTGAGTAAGAATGTTTTATCTGTGTATGGCATGTAGCAAATAACTATTGAATCCTCTATAAACAGAGGTTATCCTGACAAATAAAAATGCTTTCTTTCAAAAAAAGGAAAGGACAAATTTACACTTAGAATTGAACAGGGCTAACTCACTGGCTGTGCACTACTTCTCCTTCCCCAGCCTGTGGTCAAAAAGTTATTTTTGTTTCATTTCACACTTACTGCTATAGCATTTCCGTTGTCTTTATCAATTCATCTGCATTTTGCAAGAAGAGACTGAAACAAAGCAGATCTAAGTGCAATCAAGGAGGACACCAAAACAAGTAGAAATGTCTTGCAAAAGTATGTACAACTGGAAAATACTGGGAAATTAACAAAAAATTTAAAATTCAGACTGCTTTCATCCTGGGATATAAAAGAGGATAGAGAAATTTAAACTGAAGATTAAGATAAGATTAAAATGCTTTATGTAATTCTCATATACTTGGAACTCTTGCAAAATAAATTTAAAAAATTTTGCTTTAATGTTAGTACAGCACATATTACAACCAACATTGCTATAAAGATGTTTTAAAGACATGCTAACACGTGTGCAATACAGCAACAAGGAACTGTGCATCTGATCAAAATGTGAAAGCTAAGTTGTATTAGAAAAGATGTCCTAGTTTATAAAGCAATAACTGACTGCCTTTAAAAGTATTTTATGCTGATGTTGCAAAGACCACCTGTCTCTCATGATCGTAGAAAACATAAGAAACGAGCAGTGTAAAAGGATGCAATCGAGATGCTGGTGAAAGTGACTCACTGAGGGGAGCAGGACTGGGAGCATTGGTGTGGCCTCACACAAAAGCTTATTTTCAAGACAGTGGCCAATAGTATTATGCTCTGCAATTAGAAAACTCTTTCACCTGAGGAAATTGATACCATCGTGTGTTGGCACTTGCAAGCCTGTGCTGCAGCTCTCAGCTAGCTGGAATGAAGCCACCAGCACAGAACAAACTGTATCCTTCAGTAAGCACAGCACTGGACCTCAGGAAATAAAACCTCCTGAAAGCTGGATCTTTTGGCTGCATCAACACAACACCATGAACTTGGGTCAGGGCTGGACTGCATCTGGCTGGTAGCAAGGAAGATTAAACATGTTCTGCTTGTAAAAACATACCTATAAAGATGTTATTTGTGAAATCATGGCTCAAATGCGGATTTTTTGCTGGACCAGCAAATCTACGAGTGATAATGTCACTGCAGAATTACACAGCCTTGTCTTAGGAAAAAGAGATTTAGCCACTGACATCCCAAGTAGAAGAAAGAGTGGTACAATGGCTGTCTGTGACTTTGGGGGCCACAGTGCTCTGGCCTTTACTGCAGAAGGCCAAGGAGGCTGTGTCAGAAGTTCCTGCTGCATTCAGTTCTGGCTGGCTAAATATCAACATATTTCAAATAAAGCTGTATATTAAAAAAAAAAATCAACTTCTGAAACTTTTTTTCAGTAGTGCTTAACTCAGGCCTTTTATTTTTCTGGGCTACAAAAGAACCTTTGTATAATTTTGCCTCCAGCATTTTTTCTTTAATCTTTAACCTCTGAAAAGCAAAAGACTGAGTTTCTGGAAAGGGACTGAATAACTAAAAAAACATTTCTTATTAAAAGTAGATTAATACCCTGAAAGACCAAGAAATATATATTTGAAAGTAATTCCAGATTCAGTAGCCACATGCTTTTCAAAACCTATTAAATGCTTTGTACAACCCATTAAAAAAAGGTCCCTTTTCTGGTTTTGTACTAAATATTTTGTGCTGGAAAATAGATTTATAAAGCAGTGTGAAGTCTGAAAATATACTGAATCAATGCTTTATAATGTGGTCCGAAATTAATAACACAGTGCAACAGGCAAAAGTTTTTGGCATATTTTTGGCATATTCTTGGCAGAGACCAAGAGTATGTGACCTATTCAGTCATCAGTCATCAGAATAAAACTATTTTGTTCAAAATTTGGAAAGTGGTCCTCTTGTCAGCACAATTTTTAGCATTATGCCATTTCTCACAGAAGGAAGAAAAAAGCCTTAGAAATATCTGGTCACATACAGAAAAGTTTTCGAGGTCTGCTACTAGATCTGTGCAGATGTATGAAGGCTTAGCAAATTTAGCAGCTTGATGGAAGCGAAACAACTCCTAAAAATGTTTCATCTTGTCTCCAATGATTTCCAGTCCATCTTTTGGATGTAGTTCTTCCATCAACACTTAACTCCATTCAAGGACCTATAATCTTTGTGTTCCCCTCTATGCCCATTCCCCTTTGCTATCCAAGACCATTTCCTCACGGACACTCCACTATACCACACAGCTTTATCTGTAAGCCCACAGGACCCTTTCTTTTTTCTTTTTTTTTTTTTTTTGGAGATAGAAACTATTCATATTCACCTATAATTAAGTCATATTTCATGCAGAAAGCATGAAAGTCAGATACACCTAGTGCTGTGGGAAACACACATTAGCAAGCCCCAAAGCCACTTCTTCCATCGTGATTTTTCATTTGACCTGTCAGCTAGACTGTTTTTCCTATACTACCTAGCATACTCTGTGTATTACACACAAAATTAATTTTGTTGCTCCTA